TATATATATTAATAAATCTATCCATCTCTATATATCATATCAATGTTTAAAGGAGCTTTCTTGAGGGTTAGAGGTCAGATGAGGTTTTGTGTAAATGATGAAGGGTTAGGTGACGCTTTAGAAGTTAATGTTAGGGCACGTTGCTTTGTTTCAGGATTTTAGGTATGGATTATATACGGCATAAGGGCCAGTTCACACCACAAACTACGTGTTCCAGTGCATTCGGCCGTCTCCACCGCCCGCAGTGTGCGATCGCTCGCACCCGGAACGCAGGCACATTAGTGTCTGCGTTCCAGTCCAGTCCGATCTGCAAAAATAGTACAAGCACTATTTTTGCGGACCGATGGAGTTTGTGGTTGAACCGGCCCTAAACATCAAATGCATACTAGAAATAAAGCTTTAGGTGCCAAAACTGCTTGGGACACAAAGCCTGCTGGGATAATGTATGCAGCTTTATGTTTCCACAAAGTTTACAATAACCACAAAAATGATTATTTTCCCTTATGGGTACATGAAAAAAAAAATAAGGCACATCTAGTAACAGAATAATAAGGAAGAGTCTGTACAGCTTGACCACAAAGTAATATGGCTGCTCAGGTACCACTATGCCACAGAAAGACAACTTCCGGATGTATTCAGGTTCATAGGATTTCCTTCATGAGAACCTAACTCTGGCAAAAGCTTTATAAAATAGGGGGAAAAAAATAAAATCCATGATTCATTTACAGTATATGTCTGGGCAATGTAAAGAAACAAATATGCACATTTCTCCTTGTTTTAATTTGTAAAAACGCTGCACGTAGCGGAACATATCTGTTGATCTGCCAGAAATCCTGTGAGCTGCCTGTCCCTTTGAGCTAACACAGCAACTCTGTTACAGTTGTCACTCCTGCCCAGTTCTCTTCTGTAGTCACAAAGTGAACAACTAGACAGGGCTGACAACACTGGTTTGGGTTTCAGCTCATTTCATTGCATTGTCAGCTCAAACAGGAAGATAGGGTCCCACTGGATTTCTGGCAGATCAACAGGTATTTTTCTGTACTCCATTTTAAAAAGACAAAAAACATAAGGAAATGTGCACATAATATGGAGCTCCAATTATGTTTTATTGTATCTTGCCTTGACATACACTATAAAGTACACCGGTCGCTACGTACAGCCAACTAAACTGACCTCATAACTCTGAAGACAGATTCCTACAAATGCATTTACAGTGTTTTGGAAGCCCAAGAGCACACCAACATACACATCTCTACTCCATCTCCTGCTACCTCTTGCAACTATGCATTGATCATTCAGCAGGATGTGTGGAATCAATAAAAATGGAGGGCGGTTGGCCAGCATGCAAATGTCGATTTATTTGAACCCGCTGGATTTCGGGGCACCCGAGTCTCCAAGATGCAAAAGTAAATCGAGGGTGAAAGGATAATGTTTCCCAAAGTATGGGGCAAAGGCTTTCCTGGCTGGAGGCTGGACAAAGGCTATGGCAGCGGTTGCTGATCAAATAACCATTGCGCCTACACTGACTGGCAGCCATCAGAAAGAGTGAAAAGTCACTGGAAGATAATGATCATTCTAGTGACAGCCAACAGCCACAAGAAGGAGAATGGAGATTTAGACCAAAAATCAGAATTGTCCTCTACAGTAATCTCCAGGAGATAGGAGAAACCAATTATGTGACCACATTGTGAATGTAATGGGCGGGCATTGCATTGGGTTTTGAACCAGAGACCCAAAATTTTAAGAAAAAAAAGAGACTATGGATAGACTTCACTTAACCTATGGCTGAACGAATCAGCTGCCACAGCTTATCTAGGAGGCACATGTACCTGAAGGCCCAGCCCTGAACTGTCAATGGCATGAACCATGCCTGACTGATTGACATTTGCAAAACATCATCAATTATTACTCTTTACTTTCCATAAAAGCATGTTATCAGCCTCGTGGAAATAACTTGCCAACGTGTATTCATCTTAGTAATACACAGCCTTTAACAAGTACCAGAGTCTGCGTTCAGTTCTTCAAGTAAGCCCCTCGTACGCCACGATGGCATTGGCTCCTGCTTGGAAACGGAGTTATGTTCCTTGACAACCGTGGCGGCCAGCATGTTGTCTACGTTCAACACTTCCGGGTCGGAGTTTGTGTCGGAGATGTCATAATGGGTCACGACTGGTGGTCCATCTGCAAATAAAGCAAAAAGAAGACGTGTCAACTTACGAATGCACTGGACTCTGGTCACTCTCCAGCAATAGACAAGGAGGTAGAATACATATGGAGCACATATGATACAAAAAGGGGGTCACCTTAAAAGTCAGAATTTAAATAAAGTCAGCACCTGCCACAATATGCTGCTGATTGTAGCTTGGTTAAATCTCTATTCTGATCTCTCCAGGCAGCCTGTTTCTTGTATAGTTGGCCATGTGATATGAGCAATCTCCAAATTCCCCCAACCCCAAGCTGTACTTCTACTGTACGCGTGCCTAAAATCACATGCAAAGAGAGGGGGGGCGAGGAGTTTGTAAGCAATCTCTTTGCAGTCAAAGACTGAAGAATAAAGCCCTACACACAAAACACAAACAATGTGTAGACCTGAAAGTGCCTCTAGCCATTAGGCACATGATATATAAATGGGCTTTTATTAAGTGAATTCAAATTGATTACGTGGTCACTCCAGCACCCATTTCTCAATTTGATTAGAACACGTTTCACTTCCAAATTATTAAATCAAATAATGTTAGGCCAATGGTCTTTGGGCCTACTCCGGTCCCAAACCAACCCTTGCTGAGGCAGCTGGAGAAGACTTGGATGAATGCAAGTCAAGAGAAATGGGCGTTCCTAGTCAGGCTGCATTTGAATTCAGACTGCCCGAAGTAACTCCCACATTTGATGTTGTGCCTCCATGACTTGACTTTCAATGCTTCTGCCTTACAGAGCTGCGGAAAATGGGAAAGGGAAGGTAACAGTAGATGGAACCCAGACAATGCCCACACGGCTGATCGGTATTATAGCGGTGCAGGGGGTGAAGGGTTTGAAACAAGAATGGGCCCATTGACTAGATGGAACCCAGACGGTCCCCACACAGCTGGTAGGTATTATAGCGGTGCAAGGGGTGGAGAGTTTGGAAGAGGCCCATAGACTAGATGGAACCCAGACAGCGACCACATGGCTGATCGGTATTTTAGTGATGCAAGGGGTGGACAGTTTGGAACAGGCCTCTAAAACTTCAGTCATAAAAGCACAATTTAACTTTAGGTTTGCTTTATCCTCAGTACATCGGCCCGGAGTCTTTAAATATTTGCAGATACAATGAGAAGAAAATGACAGTTCCCAGTAGGGATGAACAATGCCAGAGTAATAACGCTCAGTACATAAGGCTGGTGCTTTGTCATATCGATAATTCTATTTATTGAGAACAGAAGCTGTTGCAAAATTACATAAAACGCAACCCTGAAACGGAGGTCGAGCTAGGCCAAGAAAGCTACAAGTCATCCATATTGTTAAGAAAGTGATTTTTTTTCCCCAGGAAGGCAAAATGCAAAGTGCAGTAATAGACTGAAATTAGAATTGCTATGGGCTACTGTACATCTAAGGATGTATGGGGGCCAGTTCACCTAAGCATGTGCAAAGTGGTCACTGAGACACCTCCCCCCTCCCAGATCAATTAGTTGTGATCGGGACATTCCCCTCCCCACAGCTACACATCACAAAGGGGTTGGGAATGCCCCTGCCATAACGGATTGGGACGGGGGTCAGTGACAGTTTAGCAGAGGCTTGGGCCCCCACACATGCTTGCTTTCTAAGCTATCTTTCGCGGTCTTATTACCATTAAACAAGCGCCTACGTGTAGGCTTTCCTCATCTTACAGCAGCGGTGTACAACTGCAAGTGGAATTCAGGAGCCAGTCAGTCCAACCTCTGAACCAGGAAATAGGGTTTAGAGGTAAGGGAAATCTGACATAGTAACGGCTCAAAGCTGGCTTTTCTGATAACTGGGCGTCTGGGATTCATCCAACAGGGAAAATCTCTGAAACTTCCCCAATGTACAGTGACAAACCCCAATCAATACATCCTATACATGATTTCATGTTCCCTCAGGACACTTCCTGCACTTTTATTCTGCTGTTCTGGGAAAACAGGTTCAAAACCATCAAAAAACACAAAAACTCCAAAAGCATCCCAAGTACATATTAAAATAAAACGTGACATGGATTATTAGTGCAATACACAACATGATGTTAACACGTGTTCAACAGGTCCGAACTCTGAACTCAGGGTCACGGTCCCACATAGTACGGCTGTCATTAATGAGACCCGATACAGAACATCTACACCTGTGTTGCCCAAAGCTTTGGTCATTCATGTGCCGCCATCACCACCTTTCCGGTGTCTGATATTTGCATATATTTACCGACTGCAGAATAGTACAGGTGATGACACCTCCTCCATCCCTCCCGCTCTCCTAGCAAATATGAGACTGTCTGCTTTGTCAGTTACACACAGGATGCTTGCAAGCATGTCCTGAGACAGTCTATAATGATTTGCAAGCCAACTATCATGAATGCAACCTGTAATAAAGTGGGGGGAAGGATGATTATTGCAGCATCTTAACCTAGTGACTACAGTTTGTCTCATTTCTTGTCCAACGGCAGGATGAGTGGAGGAATCTTATAAATGGGCTCTCAGAAATCTGATTAAAATCTGGCAGATGGCCTAACCTTTCCCAGCTCCAAGTTTGGCTGGAACTGGACACTTCCTGAACACTGCACCGTGTTTTTTTTAAATTTCATGTAAAGCTGAAGTTTATTCTGCTCATATTTTGCCCTCCCTGGTCCCTACTCATTAACATGTCTTTTTTTTTTAATTAAACCTATTAGTTTTATATTTTAGACCCAGTGATGTCATTACCGGGGTCTCTATGCAATTCAGGCAGATCATGGCTGGAGAATGGGCCCTCAGTCATGATGCAAGCAGTGGGCTGGCCCTTGGGAGGAGTTATGCAAATATCTTAAAAGGTGGATGTCAGTCTGGAGGAGTGGGCGTTCCTAGACAGGCGGTATTTGAATTCAGGCTGCCCTAGGTAACTCCCACATTTGATGAGGAGTCTCCATGATTAAAATAACTGACATCCAATAAGGGAAAGGGGCGGGACTGGGACAGGAAAGAGCTAGACAATGATGGACGTCCTCCAGCCAGGAAATGAGGCGGGCTCTATCTGACTTGCTGCAGCTTCTAATGCACATTGTGAGGAGCTCAGATTTCATTTGGCACATTGAGAATGGTGTGTGCTGCTGGTGTAAATGGGTTCCTTCCATTTCCTCCACTGTGTCTCCGGTGTCATTGTGACACTGGACACATTTTTTTAAATCATTTGACCAAATCCAAGAAGAATCCAAGCATGTGTGGAATTCTTTTCAGTCACTTTTGGGCATTGTCCACAAGCACCATGAAACCCAACACTAGATCATTTCACCACCCCCTCACCCTCCCGACTAGTCGGCTCCTCTACAATGGACTGCAAGGTTTCCCTCTGTGCTCTTTATATTGTTACATCCTAGTCCCCATTCATAACTTAAGCCTCTTTCACACCAGACACAGTGCTTTCCGGCCCGATTCTGGCCAGAACGCACTGCATTGCAGCCAGCTCACTATGTTGTGGGGCAGGAGGGAGCACCGTTGGCACGCCCTCCGGCCGCAATGCGGGAACGTAAGGCCCATTATGCCTGTGGTCCGGTCCAAACAAAATGCTGCAAGCACTATACAAACTGAGCCGGCGGCAATCTGTCCAGAATCTGTCCAGAACGCACAGTGTATGGTGTGACTGAGGCCCGAGTGTTGCATGAACATGTGCCGTACTACGCGCCTTGACACACGTTCACATGATGCGTTTAACGTGCTCGCGGTGCCAGTACTGGTGATGGCACCCCAAACACACGTGCAGTTTTTCCCGCATGTGAACAATCGTCAAATGCGCGGGGGAAAAAACGGAACGCTCGTGGCTAAAAGCGCTGCGTGGGCTACTTTGCCGTGCATGTGGAACCCATTGAAATCAATGGGCTACGTGCGGCAGACAATGTGCACGAACGCACGTTTCCGAATTGCATAGAATGAAAGGGGACTTCTGGCCAGCAGCAGAGGGATGGACAGGCAACTGAAAGCTACAAAGGCAATGATTTAAGAGACACCGATGAGTAAAAAAACATACTTCTTACACACTGCAGGACTGTGACCCATTGATCTCAGAATTCCGGTGTATAGTAACAAAGACATTTAACAATATGACATAATATATCAGTGCAGAAGATACGAGGGTTAAGTACAATATTGACAAGCGGATCATCTCCTCATCACACATCAATCTGTGCGTCCAATTTACAAAAAGTGTAACATTTCTCTATTACAGAAGTAAGGAGTTACACTTTACATGCAGTTTGGCTTCTTTAGAGTAGATGTTAAAAAAACAAAAAAAATCTTTAAAATTCATCGTAGAACATGAATTCCTCTGCATGTCGGCACTTTAAGTGAGAAAAAAAAAATAGGATCTTGTCTCAAGTCAAAATTGTACCACTCCTACATGTACATTCATGCAAAAAATATGTATCTGAAATGTATATACATGCAGAGTGATCTTTTTGTCACCTACCCAGAGGAAATACTTGGAAATGGGGGGGCTCTACGCCAAATCTTCTTTGGGGATTTACTGCACTCTGGTATCTTCCACACTCCCAAACAGCAAAGCTTAAAAAACTTTTCTCTTAAAACACATGTACAGAGTCAGCAGACAGGATCTATACAATGTCACAGTGCTGGCATGCATTGGCAGCCTCCAATGGACCACCCAAGACACTGGAAACTTCATCATCATCATTATTATAACAGCTTTCAGCATTTTACAACGTAGGCAAAACAGCATTAAAAACATTTCATAGAAACACGAATATCAAAAACAGAAATGAGAACACACAGGAATATCATTTCATCGACTGGGTCTGGATGATGTTCCTCGCTCAGGCCTAAATATCAACCAATCCGTGTTTATTTTCTGAAGAAGAGACGGAAAGGATTGGACTACAACAGTATGTAGCTGATCTGTATTACGGGGTGCTCAGATTAATATGGAATTCAGGAGCCAGTTTGTCCGATCCAGTAGCCGGCTCCACTGACAACTAGAGTAGGGTTGGGCAA